ATATATATATATATATATATATATATATATATACATATATATATATATATATATATATATATATATATATATATATATATATATATATATATATATATATATATATAGTTTAAATGTCACCAGAAGTGAGAACAAAAAATAATAATTACCAGAGCTCTCTGCAGGAAGACTTGGGTGACGGCATTAGTTAATGGGTTAATTATGGTACTGTTATCTTGGTCGAGCTCGGCAGACATCCAGGATACCACACTCAGGGTCCTGTAGGGCATCTGGCCAGAGGGAAAACACATGGAGCTCTTAGGAGTATGTTGGTGTACAGAGGGAGTACTAGTGGGTACATGAGACTATTCTGAGTACATGAGTGTACACATGGGAGTACAAAGAAGCTCGTTAGAGTGCCCAAGGATGGCGAGGAATCTAAAGATGTATTGGCTGACATGTTTGTTGTCAGCTAGGGAAGGAGTACTACTGCTACTACTACTACTTTCGACGCTATGTTCTCCCTAGATAGAGATCAGGATAGCAGAAGGTTCTCTTCCCATCCCCCTAGCTGACATTGCCGACTGGAAGATAATTTTGAGATCGAACTGAACATTAATGAAAAGCCACATTGCCAATTTGAGAGGAAAGATAAATAGAGCCTTTAGCACTATGAGTAGTTATGTACTACTACTAGTAGTAGTAGTAGTAGTAGTAGTAGTAGTAGTAGTAGTAGTAGTAGTAGTAGTAGTAGTAGTAGTAGTAGTAGTAGTAGGTGTGTGTGTTTGTTTTAGGGAGAGAGTAAGTAACAGTAGTGTCAGTGACTTAAGACTGCTCTAGACTGACCTCACTGACTGCTGCAGTAATCAGGTGACTGGAGAAAGACACTGACACAGTCGCCTCCGCCTCCAGCAGCCCCACCTCACACCTGCATACAGTCAACACATCAATATTTGCGAAAGATTTTCAGTTGCAACCAATTGTTAAAAATCTCATATTTAATGCTTTCATTTTCACATGTACCAATATTGACTCTTGCAATACTCACAAGACGCTGCACCTGGTGAGGTTGCATGCCAGAGTCTTAGAGGGGACGTCCTTCGAGTAATATGATCTGAAGAATCAAAGTAAAGAACATTAATTCATCATCATTAATTCATTAGTTCATTATCAGGAGAACGCTCCAGCCAGTACGACTACCCAACATTTGGAAGGGATATGAGGACAAGAAGCTGGGGCAGACAAGGGAAAGAATGGGGCCCTTCAGGACCATCAGAAGGACACTTGAACACTTGGATCATCGGGGGATCGAACACCGACTTGCATGAAGGAAGACCTTCACCAGTTCAATTGCTTGAACGAAAACTAAAACCATAACAAAAATGTGTGTGTGTGTGTGTGTGTGTGTGTGTGTGTGTGGAGATAATCACAGAAATAATAATACGTGACGGTTGAATCATTCACACAGACGCCTTTCCTCAGTGTTTTTAATTTTATTCTGATTTATAACTATGGGCTGAGTTTACATCAACAATTGATCTTAACCTAACTAATGTATACACAAGGCATACAGGTTTCCTTTGTTCGGGTAGCCAGGAGCCGACAGGGACGTGTTCGGGGTAGCCAGGAGCCGACAGGGACGTGTTCGGGGTAGCCAGGAGCCGACAGGGACGTGTTCGGGGTAGCCAGGAGCCGACAGGGACGTGTTCGGGTAGCCAGGAGCCGACAGGGACGTGTTCGGGGTAGCCAGGAGCCGACAGGGACGTGTTCGGGGTAGCCAGGAGCCGACAGGGACGTGTTTAGGGGTTGAGGTGCTTCACGGCTTCCTTCTGAGTTATTGGTCCAAGCCTTGACGTTGATCGAGCACAAGTGGTGTCAAAAAAAAACAAATATTGCATGTCCTGAGGGGAGAACTGTGAACTCACCATACTATTGCTAGACGAGAGAGAGAGAGAACTAGAAGCTGTGAGCTCAACATACTATCCCTAGGCGAGGAGAGAGAACTAGGAGCAACGAGCCCAACATACTATCACCAGGTAACATACATGACTAAAAAGTTGAGGCTACGAGACTATACAACATCATAAGGACTGTACAAGCAGATACACCTTGGAACAGGTGTCTGACCAACCAAGAGAGGCTGCTAAGAATCCCACAGATCTCCGGCCAGTGTTCCAATAAGGAGCCTCAGGTCAATGAAGTGTGCAGGAACCAGAACATGACCAGTGAGACTCCCGAGTATTTAAAGTGTAAATGCGAGACTCATTAAGCAGGTTTGGAAGCCACGTGTATAACTCTTTTGGGAGTGGGAGAGAGCGAGAATCTTTTGGTGTTGGCAACACTTGGGTACGTAGTAGGAAACCAGTGATCTCTGAATATTCATTATAGGTTATTGGTTTCCTGTCCTACACATTCTTTATATTGGGATAAAAAGGCAATGTTTAAAATCACCCGCCACAGAACAAGAAGACATTCGTGAACTTTGATATACTGACGAGTCTCAAGAATGTTATTAAACACCTCTTCAGCGAATGATTTAGCACGTGAATAATTAAAAAAAAGCACAGTGGAGCGTAACTCTATTCATAGTTTAAAAGTCCTTCTGTTGGAAAGGTGGAGGCTCAAGGAGAAGTTGAAGTCCGGGTGTTGGAAACTCTTCGATAACCTCACACACGCGCCAAGACACCCCAGGGTTCGTGCCTTACCTCTCGTGGTCTTGTAGCCGGGTGGCCATATGGGCCGAGGACCACTCGAGCGACTGCGAAGTCAGTTCGAAGCTCCCCACCTGAGCCTCTCTTGAGAGGATCTGCCGACGGCGACGCCCCGGGAGGAAGTCTGAAAGGCAGTGATGTAGTCAACCTCTGATGTGGGTCCAGAAGGTAGAAATGTTTCGACCTAATTTATTTTCTCTGGTGAGAAGAGAAAATTCAGTTCAGTTCTATTTTTCTCACAAAATAGTACAGGAATAAAGTTGTGGTCATGACTTATACCTGACTGGCTCACCATCATACTATCAGTATGATAGAATGATAGTATGATACACCCTCTGGCAACGCGTCACTCACCTACTGCAAAATCAAATAACTGCCAACTGAATCTAAAACGCCAAAAGTAGCCTAGTGTAGGCATAGTTTTACATCAAATTCGAATATAATAATATTCATTCACACGAGAACACACACATTTTGAATACTCTGTACGTTAACATTATTGAATGGAGCTCTGGGTTCTACAGCTACTTGGACGAGGCTATCCTCATGACAGGTCGAAGTACTTCTCCCAATTCTATAATACTTCAATTACATGTATCCAAGACTCACCAGATGGCCAACGTGACCAAATCCCTACTGCTGACATCTGTACACCTGCTCACTCCTGCCAACAACTTTATTGACTTGTATTTCTTATGAATAAAGCTTCTAAATCTAAAATCACAGTATAGAAAAGCAACTTGTATGCAAGTTAACAGCTGGTTTTGGGTCCGATGCTGAGCAAGAGCCTCCGGTTGGAGAACGAATAAGTTAGGTCATCTTACCTCGGCTGGTGTTGGCAACTGCGTTGCCAGCGACGGTGTTGATAGAGAGGCGCCAGGTGTTGTCACGCGGGCTGGTGTTGTCGGGCGGGCTGGTGTTTTCACGCGGGCTGGTGTTGTCACGCGGGCTGGTGTTGGATAACTGTAAATAGTTGGATAACTCCCGTAAGGGTAGGATAACTGAAAATAGGATACATTACGAAGTAGTCATTTGTTCGCGAAAGTTGTGAAAGCAATTACAGAAATTGTTGTGGTTTTAGAATATCAACCTGATCAGCACTGATAATAAAAGTAGTTTTATTACTATTGTTACTAGCAATAAGAGTAATCATAGCAGTAGTATTGGTAGTAGTAATATCAGTACCAATAACAGTAGAAGTAGTAAAATCAGTAGCAATAGCAGCATTAGTAATTCCAAAAGTAAGCAGTACAATTTCGTAACGGCCAATCTGCAGAGCTGGAAATTCTACGGAAATTCTTAATCAACAAACCTAGAATAACACCTACAGAAATGTGTTCAAGAAGAAAATGCACAGAGGAGCCACAACCCCTTCATTTTGATCTCTTCTGACCCCTTGAAACACATGCAGGTTATCGCGGCCCCACTAACCCAACACCTGACCATGATACAACCCACAACAGCTATCTAACTCGGGTACATATGATGGCTCTTCTACTAAGCAAAGAGGTGTCATTTGTGTGAAGAACGTTGCTCATTACCTGCAGGTGGAAAGGGTTGGTGGGAAGGATGGAGCAGGTGACCTGGGACGGGATGACGGTGGGCTGCTCCATGTGGTAAGTCAGCAGCTGGTCATCGTGGTAGAGAGGCAGCTGGAACACCAGCTGGGGAAATGGAAGAGCTGGTCAACCTCGCCTGTTTCTACAAAACCCTCAAAGCCACCCCACGAACTGAATTCCAGCTTCCAGGACCTCCAAACCGTCAATGAACTGACCTTCCAGCTCTGACACTCCAGGACTGCTCATCAATTGTCAGGACTCTCCTGACGCAGCTGTGACTCTCCAGGACGTCTTATACTCCAACTGTCAGGACTCTCCTGACGCAGCTGTGACTCCAGGAAGGCACATACTCCAGCCGTCAGCTGTCAGAACTCTCCTGACGCAGGTCTAACTGACGGAGCAAAAGTCTTTTCAAATGTTACTTGCCTTTCTCTGATAGTTCAGACTCGAGGTTAGTCTGCGACATGACCTTGTGTTGTCTCACCCTAACTATCCCTGACCCGACAAGGTTGTGACCTATGCTGCCCTGGTGACCTATGCTGCCCTGGTGACCTCTGCTGCCCTGGTGACCTATGCTGCCCTGGTGACCTCTGCTGCCCTGACTTACCCTGGCCCCGAAGACGGGACTCGGGCCACGGTTGGTGAGAGAGAACTCGTGCAGGAGATGAGGCCCGAGCTTGTTGACCGGAAAGGATGTGTCGGGATCCTTCTTGGCCTTCTGCAGCTCCTGGCTGGAAGTCGTCTGGTTGACCACCACCGTCGCGCTCTCCAGGACAGAATACCTGAAGGAAGAAGGTGACCAACCTGTCATCTGAGGCCCACCTTTGAAACCAATTGCATTGATTTTGTTATTTGTTCTTGTTCTCTTGTTCTCTCTCTCACTCTCTCACTCACGCCTTGGTGTAGAGGATGGCCTTGAGGACGACGGGGACGCTGACGGTGACGTGGTTGTTGTGGGCGTTAGTTTCCGCCTCGGTGTCGCTGGTGACGCCGAGGGTCAGCTGGAGGGCGGAGGAGGAGCGGGAGGTCAAGTACGCCAACATCTGCGCCGCGTCGTACGCGAAGTGCAGAGTGAAGCTTTCCTGTAGTGAGAAGAGCATTAACACGGCAGCTACACTCCCAGTGTTGGAGGGGGACCTTACCCTGCCTCTCCACCAGTGGTGGGGGCCTACCCTGCCTCACTACCAGTGTTGGGGTGTGGAACTTTGCGTACAAGCGCCCTGACCTGGAACATATGTCTGAAAAGTTAAATAACTAGATTTTGGGTTCAGGTCATCCCCATTTTGCCGAGAAAGAGAGCTCGAGGCAGTGGTCCAGGTCAGAGACCGGGTCGCGGGTCTGTGATCCCGGAAACTACACAAGGTAGACAGGTGGTCAGATAATTGACAGTTCTTTCCAGGTCAAAATGAGTGCCGCCGAGTTGTTAGCCAATCACAGCACGGAACGAGGCTGGCCCGGGCAAGGTTATGTAAGAGGTGACACTTGGCGCCAAGCCGTCAGACGCCCCAGGATGGGGGTGACGGTTGTCACTCTTCTCTTTGTTATTGATTGATGAAGATTAAGCCACCCAAGAGGTGGCGCACGGGCATGAATAGCCCGTAATCTTTGTCACTGCTGCTCATACGTGTATGAGGAAGGTCGTCTATTTTGGTGTTATTAACTCGGTAAGTAAGAGAGAGAGTAGTTAATTAAGTTAATTATTCCGGGAAAGAATATTATTGCTCTCGGCAGCAAGTGATCACCATCTCTGCTGTCTTCAGCTTACACCATCGACTCACCATCTCATCAGCGTCAATGAATTCAAAGATGCAGGTGAGGGAGTCGGCGATCTGGTTGACGAGTTGATGATAACTGCAGGAGGGGATCCTCCCTTCCCCCTCCACCCGCTGGAACTCGAGTCCCTCTGGATGGCGGATCTCAACCTCCACTTTGTAGCCGGGGTCGTCCTTGACTGTAAGCTCCACCTCCACCTCCACCAGGTCCTTCCCCAACGTCACCGGGCGTCTGCTCGACAGAAGAGTGAGCAGACAACATTATTTAAGCGATATGACGGTGGAGAGAGAGAGAGAGAGAGAGAGAGAGAGAGATAATAAAATCAGCAAACGGCCGGAGAACAGGAGAGCGAGACAATCACTTACGTGTAGGCAACTATCTGCAGGTCGGGCTGGGCGAAGCAGGTGGTGTTGTCGTGGCAGAGAAGTGTAGTGTTGGTGGTGAAGGTGGCGCTGGCGGCGTCTAGCACCGGGGGAACTATCGTTACCTCGTCCTTCCCGTCGTCAGCAGCAGGAACCAGACTCACAGTGACGGAGGCACTCAGGCTCTGGCCGATGTTGGACCTCACTCGCTGCCACCAACACGTCACAAAATATACGAGTAATTATATGAACTTATAAGCATATATAAAGGTTTCAGAGAGTCAAAGTGCTGGCAATATTGTTGAGAAAGAAAACGTGAGATAAGACTTTGTTTTGTAGATGATGTTTTGCCCATAAGACTTCATAAGACCTGACAAAGATACACATCAGTAGTGGTTATGAAGGAGCAAAACGGAGGAGGTTAGAGGTTAGTGAGGCCAAGGTTGTGTCAGGTCAGAGACGGATTAGGTGTTACTACTGATATTTTGTAAGTATTAGTTTAGAAGAGGTAGCTATAGTGGTTGATGGCTGCAATGTCTAGACTAGTCTTCAAATGTCTTATTTTCTTTGATGAAGAGTTTAGGATCCCTGAGGGTCACAAGGTGTTGCTTCTGCATCCTGAGTGTTACTCAAACATTCCTGTGTTATCAAGATGTGGGACATCAATACAACAAAATTTAAATAATCCTACTCATTTAAATGCATAAATCAGACAAGCATAAAAGGTACACATTAAATCATCAATTATTAAGACAATAAATAAATGATAAAACATAAATGAATGATTAACATAAAGACTCCCCTTGACCAGTCATTATGTGAGATAACTACTGACCTTGTAGAAGGCCTGGACCGACCAGGGACTGCGCTTGTCTCTGAAGTTGACAGTGCGCACTGGCGCATACCTGTAATACATAATTGAAGGTACAAAAATAATTCAAACCACACCAATATAACCAAATACAACTATTGTGTTTGTATGTATGAATATTTATGATCTTTTGTGTATATATTCATATACATATCTTCCACCCTAGAGAATACTAGTGTCTTAAAAAAATATTATCATTGGTATGACAACTTTTATTCCAAAGTTTCTTGTTATCCAACTTTTCATTTGTCTTTTAGCTGCTTCAGTTAATTTATTAAGATCTACTTTTTTTGCAGAGTTGTTGGCCTATGGGGGCAAGGGTTGTCTTGTCAACTTGTGATGGTGCCCATACCTTGGGCACTATGTACCAGCTGCAGAATTAAATACCCCGGCGGACGATAATGGTGTACAAGATGAGCAGCCAAAGGATCCCCCTTGAATCCTTATTATTATAATGTCTTGCACAAGAGACGTGACAGAACCTCGACATCACAGTCATGTTATACCTGTGACTTCAATCAGTCTACTGACTGAAGTCATTTTACCTCTCAACGACGCCCGGATGCCTCTAAGACTTTCTTTTCAATGTCTCGCTTGAAAGTCTGAGAAGCGATCGCAACACTAACCCAAGAGTAAGGGCTGACAGGTCTACATATTCAGTTAATAAAGCCTCAGGCGTTGAAGTAATATGTATACTAGATAACCTTAATGTTGTTGTAAGATCAACTGACCGGATATCTTTGCTACCATTCTGATATTATTATTGAAAACATCACTGGATCAGAGTGGGGATTGAACCAGCATCTTGGTGACTCTTAAGGGAATTGTGCGTGTCTGGCATTCACTGAGACAATGGTTCGATTCCTTCTCTCTGATCCACTAATTTTCTCCTTGATACATCATGCATTTGTCATTTCCTTGTGAAATTATTATTATTATTTTTATTATTATTTATTACACATCACTTGTTATTTACTTATTAAATAAATTATTATTTAACAATAATAATTATAAATACTCCTTAAAACTCTTATTAATTAAGGCTATTAACAGGTGTTCGGATCACCTTACCTGTGGTCGTTGTTGATCTTAAATCCGAACAGTGAGTTGTCCTCAGGTCCGTTCAGCACCATCTTGAACTGCATCCCTGTGTGTATAGTGGTACTGATAGTTGTGGTTGTGGAAGTGATGGTGGTGGTGGTTGAGATAGAGGCGACTGTGGTCGTGGTTGTGGTGACTGGTGGTTGTGGTGGTGGTGGTGGCTGTGGTTGTAGTGCTGTGGTGGTAGTGGTGACTGAATTATTAGTAGTGATGTTGGTGGTAGCGGTGGTTGTGATGGTGATGGTCACTATTGTGGTGTGTTGATAGGGGTTTGTGACAGACTAAGGTATGGTGGTGATGTTAGAATGACACTAAGCCGATATAAACAGTTCCTTCGAGGCAATTCGCGTTTAGACCCATATGACCTTAACTCTAAAATTTAAATAACATCATCCCCATGGCTTGTATTATAATAATATGGGGTTCAGTCCCAAGAATCCATTATATTCTTCTAATATTTTTCACTACTATTCAAAGGATGGGTATTGGATCCTCTATCACTCACAGGATAGGTATGGGATCAAAGTTCACACACAGGAGCATGTATTGGGTCCATTATCATCACCAGGATGAGTATGGGGGGTTCACTACCACCTCACAGGATGGGTATAGGATCCAATACCGCCCAGAGGATGGGTATAGGGTATGTAGCGTATGAGACATTCCCTTACATACTCATTATGGGATATTTCAACGTACTCACTATGTAGAATATACTCAAACAAATAAGAAGTCTACTCACAAAGTAAATATACTTTACTGATGATAACGTTTTATCTGTAAGGGCTTCACATTGGGGACATTTATTAGATAAATTCGGTAAACGAGAAACATCACAATAATATACGTGACTTTCATACACTCACTCAGGTTCGTTGACCGCCCTGTGGCTGTCATACACATGTCGTTGACCGTCCTGGGGGCTGTCATGTACTTACTGAGATCGTTGAACTTCTTGTGGGTATCGTAGGTGAGGTCGACCTCGAGGTTGAAGCAGACGCCCTTGAAGGACCTGTACCCCGCGGCCTCTACCTCGCAGCTGTTGTCCTCGGCCATTATCGTCTCTGAGGCGAAGGTCACACTGCCTACCAACCTGATCACCGGCGCTGACCTGACCACCACCAGGGCACAGCCAGTGGGCACCGGGGCACAGCCAGTGGGCACCGGGGGCACAGCCAGTGGGCATCGGGGGCACAGCCAGTGGGCATCGGGGGCACAGCCAGTGGGCATCGGGGGCACAGCCAGTGGGCACCAGGGCATCACCCAATGGTCACCAGGATATGATCCAATGGGAGGAGGAGAAATAACAGACACAAAATGATAGATAAGTTAATTAGATTATATATGTGTATTAACACAAACTTAAGTCAGTCAACAAATATACAAACACGATAACAGACATAAACCGCTATCAATAATTTACCTTATCAGCAAGGCCGTGTCCGATTCCGCGGCACCAATAATGAGGTCTGGGTAGCCATTGTCATCGATGTCGAGGCCGCCATCTAAGCTGAAGCCGAAGCCACGCATCTTGCCCGAGAAAACGGACGCCTCTATCACCTGCGAAATGCACCCGTTTTACACCTGTTCTGACATACTGACAACACACCTGTATGGGTATTCACTCCTCTACAACTTGTATTCTAAATCAACACAAAGCAAACTGAAACAAATATTGACATGATACAAGATATTAGAGAAGATAGATAAGCATATAATGTAGGAAATAGGTTGATATAAGGAGGAGCCTGAGAAGCAGAAAGAGGAGCAGGCGGAGCAGGAGGAACAGGAAAAGTGAAAAAGAGAGCGAAGAAAAGGGAACATTGGAGACAAGATCTTTATCACCCATGATGGTAATAGTCTCGTGAATAGCTCCATTGATAATGGAGATATAAAAGCTAATTCTGTCTCCCTCTCTTCCTCTGTTTGTCGTCAGTTTCTGTCTATCGTGCGTCTGTATTTCTGTCTCTCTCATTCACTGCGTCGTTTCCTGAACCCTACTTCTCGATGTTGAAGTGATCCTCAAGGATTTCACTTGATAATGGTGTAGGGTGGAGAGTAATGTGAAGCTGACCCAGTGGTGGTGAGAGTTCAAATATGCGTTCATATTTACCCATGTAAACATTCACACACAATTAAATAATGTGAGCACACTGTTGAATGCTCAAAACCATGTCAATATTTAATTGGATTCTTGCACGTGTTGGAAACTTGTTCACTCACACGTACAAATATGTTCAGTTTTATGATGGGTATCTCCCTCCTGTCTGTGAGTGGGGGTAGACGGAGACCGTCCTACCTGTGAGTGTGGTAGACGGGGACCGTCCTACCTGTGAGTGTCGTAGACGGAGACCGTCCTACCTGTGAGTGGGGTAGACGGAGACCGTCCTACCTGTGAGTGGGGTAGACGGAGACCGTCCTACCTGTGAGTGGGGTAGACGGAGACCGTCCTACCTGTGAGTGGGGTAGACGGAGACCGTCCTACCTGTGAGTGGGGTAGACGGAGACCGTCCTACCTGTGAGTGTCATAGACGGAGACCGTCCTACCTGTGAGTGTCATAGACGGAGACCGTCCTACCTGTGAGTGTCATAGACGGAGACCGTCCTACCTGTGAGTGGGGTAGACGGAGACCGTCCTACCTGTGAGTGGGGTAGACGGAGACCGTCCTACCTGTGAGTGGGGTAGACGGAGACCGTCCTACCTGTGAGTGGGGTAGACGGAGACCGTCCTACCTGTGAGTGGGGTAGACGGAGACCGTCCACTCCGCCGTTGAAGACATAAACAGCGCCCTGTCCGTCCACACCTGCATAAGGCGCCGCTACTGCAATGTCTGAAACATTTATGTCACATCAGTTTATGTTATAATTGTACACTTTCTTATCCTTCGCCATATCTTTTTTCTATTTCCCATCTTTATTATGTATATATGACTTTGCTACACATACGGTCATGATTAATACTTTATTATACAATATTTTCAGTGCTGCAGAGGAGGCTGTGTAGTACACAGTGAACGGTGTGTGTGTGTGTGTGTGTGTGTGTGTGTGTGTGTGTGTAATACTGACCATGATATCCGTCTTGGTCAATATCGCCCAGGGAAGTAATGGCGGCCCCGAAGCGACCCCAAGCCTCCACCCCCGCCAACTGTGTTGGTGGGCGCTTGTCTACGGCCTGAGGGAGAGAGGAGGAGAAGTGTGGTGAGGGAGGAGAAGTGTGGTGAGGGAGGAGAAGTGTGGTGAGGGAGGAGAGGAAGGAAGGAGTGGGTAGGGAAGGTAAAGAGTGATCACTGATGGCAATAATAAAGTAATAATAATGTTATTATTTGATATAACAAATACAAATAATATAAACAAATAATCTATATAATTAATAATATGTACCATAAATGGGTAATACCATCAGTCATCACATAATTCCAAATATTACATATAGCGAAAAGGGTAAAATAAATACACACTCCAGCTGTGGATGACTGAGCTTAGTAGACAACACTCACCTTGACCATGGGAGCGTAATAGACATAAACCTTGCCGGCGTCAGGAAGGAGGGAGCCTGCCACTCCTCCAGCAGACAGAGGAGCTCCCACTAGGAGGTCTGCGGCGCCATCCCCGTCCACGTCTGCTGACCCCAGACAGTAGCCGAAGTGCGCCCCCACCTCCTGCCCGTACACTGTGTATAGTGGCCGGATGTTAGCTGTCATCGCCTTCGGGTAGATGTTCACCTGCAGGCAAGTTGGGGTCACAGTAGTTGACAGAGAGATGCCTTGGGGACTACTCTCTTGAATCCCTCTGGCATCTTGGGATTACTGGACTAATTCCCTCTCGCGTCCCAATATTTGAGTCATTGACTTCGGGGTGGTAAGGGTGGTGGTAGTGGTGGTGAGACAGTAGTAGTGGTGAGGATTGTGGTACTGGTAGTGGTGGTGAGATGGTAGTGACAAGTTGGGGGGGTGGCTGAGTGAGTTGATATAACAGGGGGAGAGAGAGAGTGAGTCTATGGTACAACTGTGACAAAATGTTTACGATTTAAATTGAAAGCAACAACAATGGCAGAGTCCTGCCCCCGCGGGGAGACACAATACACAGTCAGCGGCAGACGACGACTCACCCTGCCGATGTAACTGCCATAATTGACGGTGGAGACAGCGATGGAGTGGCTCCCGTTGTCAAAGTTGCCGAGCACCAGCGCCCAGCCCTCGTAGGAGTCGGTGTGGTCCAGATTCTTGGGCTCCTGAAGACCGCTTGACAAACGGTTCGCGGGGCGCCCTCCTCTGGCCTTGATAGCGCTTGAGAAGACCATTCCTGCCAGGGAGGACGCAGGAGCAGCAATAGCAGGTGGATCAACAGGAACACAGAAGGAAGATTGTGGATAAATACATAATTATATTATTTACCAGAGTAATGAAATTCTCTGGTAAATAATAAAGATATATATTACAAATATATAACATCAAAACAAATAATAGATAAGGCTTTACAATTATATAATTTGAAAACTCTCAATGAAAAATCAATCAATCCATGAAGTAAAGAGCCACATGCAAATAATTGAATTATTAATTTACGAAAGATAAATAGAAAAAGTTAAACAAATGTATATACATATATGAATATTAGGATCAAATATTTATTTGGCTCCTGGGCTAGACTCACTCACCTTCGCCGGAGTAAGCAGTCGGTCCCCCCATCACCACACGACTACCCTGCAAAATGCAAAGTTTGCAGTGATTGACACAGTCACCAGTGAAGAACAATCAACGAAGAACAGATACGCCTGAACACGTCTTATAGGCCCTTGGAAGAGACAGCAGTCATAAGAAGTTGTAATTGACAACTAAAATGAGACAGTTGTCACAAACCTTTGTTATGCACGCCTGCAAGAGGCACATGACAGACACACAACTGCCATGCACGTGTATCATGCGGAACTGTACGGTTATGTACGTGTGCCCGTGTACAACTGTATGATTATGAACAATCACGTGTAGAACTGTACTATTATGCACATATACAACTGCATCATCATGTACATGCACACCTGTACTGCCATGCCAAGCACACACTTGCATTATGAGAACAAATAATAACTGCAGTATCAGTGGGAGGAAGAACTGGATTATCAGGGGATCAGTGGATAACTACACTGCTATAATCATATGGATCCACGCCATCATGGACATTTGTAGCTAACACGGGTCCCTGGCACCTGTAACAAACACGTGTCGTGGGCTCAGGGGGGTACGCGTGTCTGTGGCACCTGTAGGAGACATGTGTCGTGGGGGCTCACCGTGTCGTCAAGAGCAGCACTGAAGCCCAACATGGCATCCTGGAATGTGTTCAGCTGGGCGGCCGGATCTGGGGAAAAGACATCACGCCGTGAATAATGTTTGATGATGAGTACAGGCAGACAATGATGAATAAGCCGCTAAATACAGTGATTTTATGCAGACAAATTATCATAGATGTCATACAACTACAAATATTATACGGGTGATTAATTAATAATTGCATAAGCACTGTAAACTAAACGATTAAGAAACATAAGGAGCTTACTAGAGCAAGGAAGGAGCAGCTTGGGCGGTGAGTCAGGGCTGGAGGTAATGTAACACGCCCCTCGAACCTGTATACTGGAGTCTTCGTACCTTGGGTAACGGGGGGCACAGGCCTTGAGGGGGAGGGAGAGAGGTGAGAGGGGGAGAGAAGTGAGGGGAAAGAGCATTAGTACCAGTGCTTGGTGGTTGTAGGGGAATATTGTCAATCAATTATGGCTACCAACTTTTTCTCAAGCCCGGATAGTCTGTTTCTCCCCACTAATTCCTCATTCTATCCCCTAGTCTTTCAACCCCTGTCCTCATAATCCCCCCTTTCTCTTCCTTCCCTTCTTACCCCTCTCTTCTCCCCACTTTCCCGCCCCCTCCTCTCCTCTCTCGTTCGTCCTCTCTCCCTCATTCTCTCCACCCTCCCACTCACCCCAATTTCACTATCTACCCTCCCCTATTCCCTCTTTTCTTATGTTCTCCCCTTTCCCGGACTTTAACCTAGAACAGAAAAACACAATATGCAGATAAGGCCACAAGGATGGGCCACTCAGAACATACAGATAAGGCCACGAGGATGGGCCACACTCAGGACTGCATACAGGTAAGGCCACAAGGATGGGCAACACTCAGAACATACAGGATGGGCCACACTAAGGACAACAACTACTCACAGCGAGGAGGGACGCTTCTTGCTTCAGTGTGGACAAAGAATGACCAAATCCCATGACGTTCTTAGGCCTCCCTAACCCAGCCTTCTTCTCCTCCAGCTCCGCTGTCACCTGCGGATCCCCGAGGACGTCCAGAGCCGCCTCGCTGAAGTCTGACAACATACAAATATTGTAAACACAATGATCAAATGACAAAAATAGTATATTACATTGTCTCCTGGCGTCAAGTAAACATTAAATCTGTCAACCCCGGACTCTACTCCATCATTCACTTGAGAACAGACAACATAAGTCATCTTTTGAAACCCCCATAACAGTTCAGCTGTTGTGACGATGTCAGAAGACGTCAGGACTCACCAGCTGTGGCGACGGTGGGGAGCCTGGCGTCAGGTCGACAGACAACGGGTCCGTCAACGTCGCAGAAGAAGATGTTGCCCAAGGTGACCTGCCCTCGCCCCGAGGTGCCGTTCCTCCCCCGTGGGGCTCCCACCACCACCCTGGGGAACACCACCAACACTCATCACACAGACTGGCCACACAGTTACTGTGTAAATGATGAGTTCATGTGGAGGAAGAAGCTGGGACAGTGAGTGCCTGTGGTGCCACAGATAGTGAGTGCCTGTGGTGCCACAGATAGTGAGTGCCTGTGGTACCACAGACAGTGCCTGAGGTGCCACAGACAGTACCTCTCTCTTTCTGCAGCTTCTCCTGACTAGTGATGTGTTGTCGTCACACAACCCGTCACACAACTCACCTCTTAACACTGGCGTCGTCCGACCAGAGGGCGACGCTGAACCCGAAATGTGAGTTTGGCGGACCGTCCATCCTCCTGGAGTGGGCGGGAGAGAGGTTGTAGCCGCCCACTGGGCGTGGGGCCACCAGCGCCCACACCGCCCACAGGCCGCCCACAACCTTCAGCCAGGCTGGGGCCGCCCTGCCGCACCCCATCATGATCTGGGTGAGATTAATGTTTGTAAAATCAATTATTTCAGAAACTTCTAAATACAAAAGTGGTTTATGTAGGGTCCGTGTCACCGTGCTAGTGGATGATAGGGCCGGTGTCACCGCGCTAGTGGATGATAGGGCTGGTATGATACAGGCTGGTGCAGGCCATAGAGTGAATGAACAAATCCACAAGCTAAGACCGTGATGAGGGTTCGAATATACGTTCGAGAGGTTCCCAGTGTGATCCATAGTGTGAAGTGTGTCAACGCCTGGCAGAGCGTGCTACCCTCGCTGAGAGATGTGCGTGTTAGAGCAGACAATTCCACAGATGGATGTGCTGGGGAATGAGACCGAGATTGACTCATTATTCTTGAGCATCTAAGGAAGCGGCAAGAATGCCTTCGTTCAGGGAGCAGAAATTTAGCTCATCAGACTATAAGTAACCTCTTCAATGGCCAAGCCAAAAAAAAGCCTTCCCCAGAGCCATGCGAGCCCAGTACCCTTCCCTGAGACATGCGAGCCTGTTACGGCCTCAATGGGACGCAACCGGGTTCTTTTCAGTTGGTACGAAAGTTCATATATCCGGCCCCAAGTTAGTAGAGGCTTTCAATCACCATATATATATAAAAACTATTCAACGGAAAATATTACTACACTATGTACATCATCGTCTCTCTCTGAAGACACTGAACACTTGGCGAAGCTCACTCCGTGCAGTCTTGTGCCAAGTTTCCTTATCCATGGCACTACCCTCAGCAGGTACCAGGAAACAACGATGAGTCTACCCTGGCCACGGGCCAGCCAAATCACAATTCCACTGGGTGCCTCGTCGTGCTGAACGGACAGCACACTGGACTTGTGATCCTGTGGTCCTGGTTTCAATCCCAGGCGCCGGCGAGAAACAATGGGCAGAGTTTCTTTCACCCTATGCCCCTGTTACCTAATAAAATAGGTACCTGGGTGTTAGTCAGCTGTCACGGGCTGCTTCCTGGGGGTGGAGGCCTGGTCGAGGACCGGGCCGCGGGGACACTAAAGCCCCGAAATCATCTCAAGATTGGCTAATTCTTTTAATAAGTACAAGCTAATCTACAGAAAACTCACCACTTTCCTAAACAAAGAGAGACAACACGGGCTCACCATAGCCCGTGCTGCTTGGAACTTTTTGTTCCAGGTAGCAAATCTTTAACAACAACAACAACAAGAGAGACAAATAAGTCTGAATTATAGAATTTAAAGTTCCTGTAAACTGAACACAATTTCACAGGATAATTATTGATAAAGGATCATGAAAAGAGGAATTCAACAACAGCACGAAAAAGAGCAATTCAATAAGAGTAATTTAATGCAGCTGATCCTCTGAAAAAAGAGGGACTAGGCCTATGATAGGCCTTCCCTGCCATAGGCCCAGTCAATTTAAATGATAAATACTGATTATAATCATCAGATAATTTTTTTCCCCCCTGGTGAATGTTATCGTCACTATGTTTTTGTAGCCAGATGTATTCTGCTCGCCTTACTGTATTCCCGCTTCTCTGTTGCTGTATCCCTCGTATATACAGTTGTATTTCCCTTGTATTCAGCTGTATCCCTCGTGAAAATAGCTGTATTGCACGTGGATATAGCTGTATCCATTGTATCTGCTGCTGTATTTCTCGTGTTTACACCTCTATCCCCCCTGGGAATACAGCTGTATCCCTCGTGTCTGTTGCTGTTGTAGTCCTCGCGTATGTAGCTCTATTCCCTCGTATAGACAGTTGTATTCCTTGTGCCTGCAGCTGTATTCTCCATGTATACAGCTGTATCCCTCTTACCTACACCTGTATCCCCTGAATCCCTCGTGCCAATTCCTGTAACTGTGGAAGATAACTGTACCTGTACTTGTAACAATTCCCGTAACATTTGTAATTGTGGGTTGAAAATCATACTGTTATTGCTCCTTGCTTGTCACTCGTTATCAGTCCTCCTCCTCCTCCTTCCGTTCTTCGGGACACCTGCGTTACTCACAAGTGTTTTGACATGTGACTGACAGGTGATTGGCAAGAAGCAGGCTGTGAGCGACTTCTCCCTCTCCCGCTCAAACAATATTTGGAACTTATTTTCTCACTTGTTTGATTCATGAATGTTGAAGAGGCTGTTTGTTACTCTGTCTGTCTGTCTGTCTGTCTGTCTGTCTGTCTGTCTGTCTGTCTGTCTGTCTGTCTGTCTGTCTGTCTGTCTGTCTGTCTGTCTGTCTGTCTGTCTGTCTGTCTGTCTGTCTCTGTCTGTCTGTCTCTCTCTCTCTCTCTCTCTCTCTCTCTCTCTCTCTCTCTCTCTCTCTCTCTCTCTCTCTCTCTCTCTCTCTCTCTCTCTCTCTCTCTCTCTCTCTCTCTCTCTCTCTCTCTCTCTCTCTCTCTCTCTCTCTCTCTCTCTCTCTCTCTCTCTCTCTCTCCTCTCTCTCTCTCTCTCTCTCTCTCTCTCTCTCTCCTCTCTCTCTCTCTCTCTCTCTCTCTTCTCTCTCTCTCTCTCTCTCTCTCTCTCTCTCTCTCTTCCTTCCCCTCAATATCTCTCTCTCCTCCTGCATTTCTTTCTCACTCCCTTCCTCTTCTCCCCTCACAAACCTAACAATATCACCAAAACACGGCCCCCTGCTCTATGAAATTAAGAGAACCTAAAAGGAATAGTCATGCGAATATTTTGTTTCATCGATTCGTGTGTGTGTGTGTTAGTAAGAACTTTATGATCAAACACCTTGTTGTGTGCGGCTCCAGGGATGGGGGGGGGGAGAGAGAGAGAGAGGAATCTCTCTTCTCTAGAGATAGAGACTCCATGTACTGGGGTCTGGAGCTAGAGACTCCATGTACTGGGGTCTGGAGCTGGAGACTAGACGGTGCGTCCAGAAATCGAAGCCTTAATTCAAGGCACTGGAACATTGACTCTGAATTGGAGTCAGGATTCCAATTGGACGATAATGAGGAGGAAGTGAAAGGGGGGAGGAGGAGGAGGAGAAGGAGGGGGGGGCAGGAGTAGGAGGAAAACAAAAGCAGAAAGAGAGACAAAAGGAATGTGCGAAGAAATTAAAAAAAAACTTTATCTCAAGGACACCCTGAGAAACTTAAAATTGAGGTAAGACCATAGAAGAAATTATGGACTTTTTCAACAAGAAATGCTGAGAAGAAGTTGACCAGTTAGTCTTTATCCAAACTACAAGAAGAAAAACTACCAAAGAGCAGAGTGGACAAGGAATGAGCACAACAGAACACAAAGGTAAACATGAAAACGACATTGTAGACAAAGCCAAGACTTTTCCCAAGTTTCTTCATAGCCACTTCAGGAGGGGCGAAAAAAAGCACATTTAAGGACCAAGTAATTGAACTGAAGAAAAGGCAGGGCTTATTTACTAAGAAAGACAGAGAAGTGTGTGTGAAACTCAGAGGCAATTGCCAGGAATCTGATTTTAAAATTCTGGACACTTGTATGAATGGCCACACAAATTTGAGAGTAATGGAATCCTTATATATGAAGGAGCTGCGGCCTCTGTTAAATAGCAACCTTTCAGCTGTTCAATTGTACACTGTATAGTGAACAGTAGGACCTGTAATTTGATTTATAGTTCATTCTGGCAGTTTAATTTTATTATAATTTTGTTTAGTTTACCATGTCTTTGCCTTTTCTTACTTATTTTAAGTCTTAACATTGTACATTATTATAATCTTTTTATTTAGGATATATAATACATTTTTGGATATTTAGATTTGTTTAATATTTGAGTTTTTATAAGATTTTGGTTAGAACTTTATAATTGTCGCTTATTCTGCTTGCATTTTGTATACATTTTTTGTAGATTTGTAGTCATTATATGAATATTTGTAATAGTGTTTAGTATCTATGTGCTAGCTCGGGACAGCCGGTCGGCTGAGCGGACAGCACGCTAGACTTGTGATCCTGGGTTCGATCCCAGGCGCCGACGAGAAACAATGGGCAGAGTTTTGTTTCACCCTATGCCCATGTTACCTAGCAGTAAAATAGGTACCTGGGTGTTAGTCAGCTGTCACGGGCTGCTTCCTGGGGGTGGAGGCCTGGTCGAGGACCGGGCCGCGGGGACACTAAAGAGCCCCGAAATCATCTCAAGATTGCTATCAAGTTTTACTCCTGTTGATCACTTCTCGTAAGTTTAATAATATGGTTTGTTTTAGTAGTTATAAAATTCCTCTTGTAATTTAATGCTTTTTTGCATTAGCTTTTATCTATGTGACAGTTAATAAGTTTTATTTGTATTGATCACTTTAAGTAAGCTTAAGTTTTTTTTTTTAATAATTTTCCTTTCTTTGATAGGCAATTATATTCAGTATGAGTTCTTTGTTTACCAGCTATTTGATTGCGATTTCTGTTTATTCTTTTAGATCTGATGATGAATACGAGAAGTATTCGAAACGTTATGCATTTTAAAGTAAAGAATCTGAAACAAGATGTTCAGTATATCCCTAGTTTTCCTATTCATCTTTCCTATTTATCGCTAAGAACTTTATTTGACCCGGCCAGGATTCGAACCCATGCCGTCCAAGATGACCCCTGAACGTGCACAGTACCGTGACCACCGTACACAGGTCACGGTACTGTGTATGTTTAGGGGTCAGCTCAACCTCCCCGCAAGCACAATTAGGTGAATACACACACACACACACACACACACACACACACACACACACACACACACACACACACACACACACACACACACACACACACACACACACACACACACACACACACAATACCCGTACAAAACAGGAGTGAGTGTTGAGCAGCCGCGGGTGAGTATTGAACATCTGCCACAGTGTGTGCTTCTTGTCGCTCCACAACAAGGAGTGGCAACCAGCTGGGAATTAGCCAAGCGGAACCAAGTTTAATTACCGATGAATTTTTGCTCCGCCTAACGTTTTCTTTGTCTAACGTGGCGTGCTGGGAAGTTATTTGTTTGTGTATGTCTTGATATTAGTGCCAATGTGCATTTGTTTTATGTTAGTGTGTAATCTGTGTGTGTGTGTGTGTGTGTGTGTGTGTGTGTGTGTGTAGTAATAACCTCTGTGGACTTGCTTTTCGAGCTTTAGCTGCTGGGTCCCACCTCCTAATCGCCGGGTCACCTTGTGGAATGCTATTACGACTCCTTATGCATATAATCTCACCAACGCTTGAAGAAAAGACTTCCTAACTTAATTATGCCTCCCCGTAGTTTCCAGTTTCCCTCCGAGTCCGTCTGTCTGTCACCTCGCTACTCTCTGTCACTTCACTATACAGTTCTATCTACAACAAAGAAATTATCATACACTTGTAAAAAATAATAATTCAACTAATAATAACACTCAGAGAAATGTCAATAACGTGATATATATATCAATAAACAAATCCACAAGAGCTGTGATGAGGGGCTCGAACTTATGCGTTAGGTGTTCCCAGTCGACGACACCACGACATAGTCAAAAGAATTGTAACCTAGGGTTCTACTACACCCCTCGAGGGCCCCGAGGGGGGGAGGAGGGTTCCACTGAAGCCTAACATGGGGAGGGGGTTCACGCAATTCCCCCCCATTTGTTAAATAATAATACTAAATATAATACTCCTATTAGTAATGATCATCAGTATATATAATAATTAATTAAATGTCGCCCAGGAAGACAAATTATATTTACGTGATCGCGAGGACAAATTTAGGGTGGGAGGGGGGGGGGAGTTGTGGGAGGGTGGGGGGGGGGTTTGTGGGAGGGTGGGGGGGGGGAGGAAAAGATTAGTTTTGATGCTCTTAGTGGGATTGGTGGGAGAGGAGACCCTTCCCTTCCCTCTCCCATGGTGTCGTCAGCTATACGACCCTCCAGCTCCTCTCTCTCTCTCTCTCTCTCTCTCTCTCTCTCTCTCTCTCTCTCTCTCTCCTCTCTCTCTCTCTCTCCTCTCTCTCTCTCTCTCTCTCTCTCTCTCTCTCTCTCTCTCTCTCTCTCTCTCTCTCTCTCTCTCTCTCTCTCTCTCTCTCTCTCTCTCTCTCTCTCTCTCTCTCTCTCGGGGCTGTGATCGAGATTGTTGAAGAGGAGGTGAGGAAGAGGTATTGTCTGGGGAGGAGGGAAAGAGAGAGAGAGAGAGAGAGAGAGAGAGAGAGAGAGAGAGAGAGAGAAGAGAGAGAGAGAGAGAAGAGAGAGAGAGAGAGGAAGGGAGGGAATTAGGAAAGGGAGGAGGAAGAGACAGAGACAGGAAGGGTGGACGGATGTTTTGGTGTGAATGGGGGACGTGGGAAGGAATCTGTGATTGGGATGGAAATGGTTTGGTTAGAGCAATTGTAGGCTAGGTGTAGCTGCTAGGTCTGGCTAGGTGACTGTATTGCTGAGTCTGGCTAGGTGACTGTCCTGCTAGGTCTCGCTAGGTGACTGGGAGATCTTGCGATTTATTTTGACGCTGTGGTCTTACGACATATTCTGGCGGTGAGGATATCCTTAGAATCCGTATAAAATATTTTCTTGATATCTTTTTTCTTGATAACAAGTGATATTTTTGGGAAGACGAAACCAGGTTTCTTTACACCTTGTTTGACCCCCCGTTTAAGATAACTTGTGATCACCGTTTAAGCATTTTGATGACCGTTTAAAGATAACTTTTGACCCTTGTTAAGCTTAATTTGGCCTGGATATAATAAGAAAGAGGAAGATAACACATAATGCTTTTTGGTAAGATAGTAATCGTAGCTGAGTGGACAGCGCTCGGGATTCGTAGTCCTAAGGTTCCGGGTTCGATCCCCGGTGGAGGCGGAAACAAATGGGCATAGTTTCTTTCACCCTGATGCCATCTGTTCACCTAGCAGTAAATAGGTACCTGGGAGTTAGACAGCTGCTACGGGCTGCTTCCTGGGTGTGTGTAACAAAAAGGAGGCCTGGTTGAGGACCGGGCCACGGGGACGCTAAGCCCCGAAACCATATCAAGATAATCTCAAGATAAGATAGCCAGGACGCTCTCGCTTTTCTATCCCCTTCTCTCTTCCTTCTTCCCTTCCATTATCTCTCCCTCTCTCTGTCCTGTTCTCTCTCCCTTTCTTTAGCGCCCTCCCTTCCATTCTCTCTCTCAGTGAGCCTAACAAACTCGAGTAACGTTGAATCGACGTCACCGACTTTGATTCGAAGTCGGTGACAGCTGGAATTTCATTTAACACTGTGGCCCATCAAACGCACATTTCAGTCTTCACAGGAGTCGTTGGTGGTTACATTCCTACTTAAAGAGAGCCACGGGATTGGCCACAACCGTCCTATGTCACTCGCCATACACTCACACATCACCCTGCAAAGTTTGGTGAGGCTAGCATGAAGCATCTGGCCACCAAAAAGAGATTTTCCTCTTATAACGATATAAAGGGTCTTGTAGTACAATTGGTTTCGATCTCGAGTCACAATCAGGGGGTTCACGGGTTCGATTCCCGCGTGGGACAGAAATGGTTGTGTACATTTCCTTTTCACCTAATGTCTCTGTTCACCTAGCAATAAATAGGTACCTAAAAGTTAGGCAACTGTTGTTAAGTTGCAAGGACCCCAACACAGGACTGAAGTATAAATATACACAGGCTTCCTGTCCCCGTGTACCCAGTAAGTTTCAAGATGTATCTTAAATAATATCATAACTTTCAATATTATTTATAATAAGTATCATAACTTATTCCTTTTTTTCCTCTTCACTAAAGGCTTTGTAAGAGGCTTTACACTGGAGTGCAATTTAAAACTTTCTTTTAGTTATTGTTTACAAACACCTTTTGAGGGACTTCACCGCTGAGGTGAGGCCCTCACGGTGAAGTGAGGGTCTCACCTCAAGGGTCTTAACTTCGTATCCACCAGAGACGCTCCGGTATCTTCATATTAGGTAAAACACTGGCACTTTCTTTCCACTTTCTCAAGTCTCAGATGACAATGTCTTCGCAAGTGTGAGAGATCTTTCTCACACTCCCTCCTCACTTACACGGGGACATCTCCTCACTTACACTGGGACATCTCCTCACTTACACTGGGACATCTCCTCACTTACACTGGACATCTCCTCACTTACACTGGGACATCTCCTCACTTACACTGGACATCTCTTCACTTACACTGGGACATCTCCCTCACTTACACTGGGACAATCTCCTCACTTACACTGGGACATCTCCTCACTTACACTGGGACATCTCCTCACTTACACTGGGACAATCTCCTCACTTACACTGGGACATCTCCTCACTTACACTGGACATCTCCTCCTTACACTGGGAGCCCAGCACCACCACCAACAGTCTAATCCACCACTGACGCATAATGACTTCAAGGGTTTGTAATGTGTGTGAGGAATCACGTTCGCAAATAAACCAAAAAATCAGAATAAATACACATTTCTAACCAGAATTACAGTGAGTACCAGACTGTCTCCAGACAGCGGTGTGAAGCAGAACAGCGCCAGTTAACCACAGTGATAGACTGTGGTAGACCGCTGCTCTCCGGGGGCCCCTGCGGGTACGACCAGTCTGTCTCTTGAGCTGAGAGACACTAGACTCTACGTGACTCCAGGGGCGCACTCCGAGCTTGCAAAGTCATTGAAGAGACTCTCAAATCATCGTCCGTGTGAAGGGCGTCCCGCTGTAGATTGTCGCAGAGTCTGCCATCACCCACACACAGGATAGAGGGATTACATCAGTTCTCCGACATCCACAAGGGATTACACCAATCCTCTAACATCCACAAGGGATTACACCAATCCTCCAACATCCACAAGGGATTACACCAATCCTCCAACATCCACAAGGGATTACACTAATCCTCCAACATCCACAAGGGATTACACCAATCCTCCAACATCCACTACAACACGGAAAGGATCAACATTTTCTTGTCAGTCATCAGAAGCAGAAGTCTGGGTCTCTGCTTCCACTGCTTGCTTCTGCTTGTGGCTCTGCTGTTATAACTATTGTGATATAAGTGTGTTTGTACTGATAAAAGATAATATCGAGAGCGCAGACACTAAGTCGCATTAACGGGGCTGAAAATTAGATACCCAACGGACACCTCTGGAAACAAATGACTTAGAAACGTTTCGGTCCGTCCTGGATCATTACTAAGTACTAATTTCTACTTTATAATGGTCCAGAATGGACCGAAAAGTCATCAAACGTTTTGATTTTAGATTTGTGGGTTTGTGTTTAATAATAGTTGTAAAGCCTTTGTTTCTGTAGCTTACAGCGTTAATGTCGAGAATATTAACACTATGGTTAGGGGGAGCCGGTCGGCCGAGCGGACAGCACGCTGGACTGTGATCCTGTGGTCCCGGGTTCGATCCCGGGCGCCGGCGAGAAACAATGGGCAGAGTTTCTTTCACCCTATGTCCCTGTTACCTAGCAGTAAATAGGTACCTGGGTGTTAGTCAGCTGTCACGGGCTGCTTCCTGGGGGTGGAGGCCTGGTCGAGGACCGGGCCGCGGGGACACTAAAGCCCCGAAATCATCTCAAGATAACCTCAAGATGGTGTATAATGAAGTATATTTGTTTTGGTAGTGTAAGGGATAGTAAAGGTAATAATTACATTAATAACAATAGTACTATTACTACTACTACTACTTCTATTAAAACTACTGCCTTACAGCTAATACTACTAGTAACAATATTAACATAAAGATGAAAATATAACGAGTTAAATAAAATCAGATCAGAACTTTACGTCAAGTTAACAGGACGCACATGTCTGATATTTCGTCGGCTGTGCAACAGTGCCAGAGCAGAGCTTGCAGAGCAGAGTGGGGCTCTTGAACATGCAGAGCTGCACTCTGCATATTCCCTAATATACCCAAGGAAGGTGCTAGTCTATACGGGGCTCAAGCTCCTGGGCCCCGCCTTCATCAGTGCTCATTCTTTGGCTCACATACGCCATCTTCTATATTCATATCAGGGAACCGGATCCAAAGGACACGGATTGTAAGGAAACTCTAAGGTGGTGAGAGGGTCTAAGATTCTGAGGGCACCCCTAAGGGTAACAAGGGAAGGGGCAGGGGGTTATCGGGGAACTCTGAGGGCCATTTGCGGCCTACTCGTTACCTTGGGAAGGGAAGGGATCTATCAGGAGAAAGCGCCAAGCCATTACGACTATATAGCACTTGGAAGGGGTCAGGATAAGGATTTGGGATGGGACGGGGGGAAAGGAATGGTGCCCGACCACTTGGACGATCGGGGGATTGAACGCCGACCTGCATGAAGCGAGATCGTCGCTCTACCGTGCAGCCCAAGTGGTTGGGTCGTTAACCTGGGAGAATGAGGTCACTAAAAGACTATAGGCCATTGTATTGAGTATTTTACAGTATTATTGACATTGTATATGTGGCCCCCGGAGGAAGCCGTGTATGTAGTGAGGATGTCTGTTCTTCGTGACTGTGTATTGCACTGTAACCCCCTCCCCCAACAGTTGGGGGGGTATATTACACTGTACCCCCCACAACAGTTGGGAGGTTTTGGTGTCTCGGGAACCTTAGGAGGGTCCACCAGCGCAATGAAGTTGTCTCACATAGAAATCAAGTGGGTACCTCAGGCTGTATATTGCATTCTCTCTCT